TTTTTTATTTTTATTCATCAATTTTAGGCCCATTGACATATTTAGACTTCAATTGTATGCATTTGTAGCTCAAATTCATTTTTCCTAAATTAAACTCACTGAAAATCCTAACCCTAATTTTCAAAATTAAGGCAACCAAATACAAATTAAAGCTTCCAAATCATCAATTGACATAAATTAAACACTCATTGTGGTGTAGATGAGATTAGCTTACTTAGATAGCCTCTAATTAACCTTTGAAAAGTTGGATTTCCTTGCAATTTCTTCTTCCTTTTTTTCTCTCTATATTTCGGCCTAAACTCCAAATTTTCCCTTTTGTGATTCTTGATCTTCTAGCTTGAATTCCTTGCTTAATAAAATTATTTAAGGTGCTTAGGTAAAAATTTGAGTGGAATTCTAAGGAAAATTTGCAAGTGTTTCCCTAAAAGTTTCTAATTTTCTAACATTTTCTAATTTTCCTACCGCCCATATTTATAGGAAAAACTAGGTGGAATTTTTCCCTTGGTTGACTCCATCTTAACCCTTCATTTTTTTTAATCTTGGCCTTTAATTTTTCTTTTAATCCTAGCCTTTTAATTGATTTCATCTTAGCTATCCATTTATTCTTTAAAATTTATCCCTCCATCAAACCACTCTCTATAAATCATTTTCTTCCCATTTGTGTATGTATTAATTACAGCCAAATAATTGGGCTGGAAGTGGTGGCAAAAGGGAGAAAAATCTCTCCCAAAAAGTGCTTAATTTTGGTCCTTAAAGTTACTAATCTTTCCTTTAATTAGTACTCTTCCATAAGTCCCTCAATTATTCAGTTGATTAATTTAGATCCTTCCTTTAAAGGTTTCTTAACAACTTTTGAATTCCTAAAGTTCATATCTAATTTAATTTGAAAGTTCAAACTTTTAATTTTATGCAACTAGGTCCCTAATTCTAAAATTTTATTCCATACCTTTTCAAAATTCAATTTCTTTTCATAATAAATTCGAAAACCTCCTAAAATAATTTAATCACCATTCACATAATTTTTATACACTTATTTAAGCCTTCAAATTAATTATTTTGTGTAAAAATACACTTTTTTCTATAGAATATATTCCCTATGCATAGAAAAATTCAACCAAATTCATGGAATATTCCTATACATCCTAATGATTTTTCTATGTCCATTGGATAATTTTCATATACCTTTAAAGCTTCTAAATTAATTAATATATCGCAAAAACATTATTCATGCATGGTAAAGTTCACATAAAATAATCAAAGAACATAAAAAAATGTATCCAATGGTATCGAATAATCCGACACCCCTCTAGAAAATATTCTATATAAACAAAACTTTTTTTATGCATATTTAACATGCTTGAATTAATTATTTCACATAAAAGTCACTATTCATAAATCGAAAAATTAACAAAATATTTACCGAGCATGAAAAGACTATTTTAACCTCTTTGAATATTCTAGCACCCTTTTAAAGGTTATTCCTTACTCACAAAATATTTTCCATATGCCTTCAACATTTTTAAATGTATATAACGTCATTTTTTAACAAGTATCGTATATTACATATTAGTTCTCTCATGGAAGATAGGATTCTTGCTAATATGAATTGATGACTGGCTACCACATTTAAGAACCATTGCATCTTTGTGATCAAACCCAATTACGTCGGTAGAAACAACAATTAAACCAACTTCATAATAACTAGAAGCCATGACTATATATTCTATTTCAAATGAGCTTCGGCTACTAAGGATTGCTTCCTTGATTTCTAGGTGAAGAGGGAATCACCAAAAAAGACACAATAACCGGTAACTAGTCTACGAGAGTCTTTAGATTCTACCCAATCATTGTATGTTTAGGAATGTAGTTGCACATTATAATTTGTTGAAAATAAGACACCTTGCCTTGGTGCATGCTTTAGGTATCTCGGTACTCTAGGAGAAGTCCGCAAAGGTATATTTATAGGTTTGTCCATGAATTGAGAAAGAACTTGAGTGGTAAAACAAATGTTAGGCGTCAAATACAAGGGTTTGAAACTTGCACATGTTTATACTATTTTATACTTAATTAATTAGAAAAAAATAAGAGTAGTGAGATTTGAACTTGTGACTACTTAGTTAACAAGATTCTAATATCACGTCAAAGAATCATCTCAACTTAAAAGCTTAAATTGTTAGGAGAGGTCCGAGAAATTATTTTATATGACTCTAACATATTAAGAGAGCTTTACACGTGGCATTTTCTTTTAATTTTTTATGTTAGTATGGTTGTAACTAAGTTAGTTTTGTTGTTAGTTATTTACTTTCAATTAGTTGTTAGTTAGTTGTTTTAGTCAAATTTTCTTCTTTCTCTCGTCAATATAAATAGTTAGTAGAGTAGAAAAGAAGAGTGAGTTTGTATTGAGATAACAAACTGGAGAATTCAGATTTTGTTTCTTCTCCAACTTCTTTTTTGAACCTCTCTCTTTAATTAAATATATTATCGAGTCTTGTTAACCTAACGATCAAAAGTTCGGATCCTACCATTTTCACTCGTTAACCTAATTAATTAAGCACATGGTAGTGTGGATCCGTATAAATTATAAGTACAAAAGGCTTTCAAATGAGAAGATGCATGTTAAAAAATAATATAAATCATATCTTGATATCTCGCCTAACGAGTTTAAGTTTTTGAATTGAAATGATCTTTTAACGATTTGTTTGACTCCTATATGACATACATCATAATTAAGAAAGCATATAGTTGTTAATCACAGCAAGAAAGCATAGATGCAAACAACTATGCTTGGAATAGACACAAGAGTTCAACGGACAAAATTAGTGGTGCTCAAGGTATGCCAAGCTTAAATGGTAACCAAAATAAAGTTATGATTATTTTATGAAATTTCCGTAGCAAGCACTAAGCTTGACTTTCGGGTATGATTTGAAAGATTATTGAGTCACTTGTTCACATAATTAATAAATATAATAGTAGCTTTGAATTTTTTTTTTTTTGGTACGGTTGTTTGAATTTAAGAAAACAAAGAAAAAAAGAGCTAACAAATGGTGTTCACCTGCTTCGAAAAAGGTAGGTTTAGACTTTAGATTCTTAGATAAAGAATAATCAATTAGCATACTTGCGTGATTTTTTCATTGTCTATATATAAATACATGATTGATCCCTAGTCAAAGTACAAATCTTACCCCCACTTCCGAACCACAAAATTTTGATTTGATTTCTTCTCCATAATTAACTTCTTTTTTTTATATATAAATTATATAATTTAACAGTTGTGTATTCTATAATTTTTTTTAGTGAAGTAGGCTTGAGTTTTGATAGTTATAGTTTATTTAATCAATTATGTAATGGAAGAAGATTATTTATATTATGTAACTCAAAACCCACAAAATTATCGATTAAAAAAAAAACCCTACTTTTTCCTTAGATAATTTACACTTTGAAATATAAATATCTAGCTAGTGTATGCTTATTAATTTTTTTGCGCATGTGGTAAATGGACTGATCAATTCACAAGGAAAAAGGCAATTACTAGCTATACGTGTTATCCACTCCTTGAATATCTTATAACATCAGTCCAAAAAAGAAAAAAGACTAAGAAGATATCTAACAGAAATATTTACGAGGCTTCAAGTCCCTAATTTGAGGAGAATAGATAGGTCCATCGTCTTTGAAAAAAGGAAGAATTTTTGGCACTTGGTGACAGCTAATTTTGTTGAAAAATCTGAAGAAATCAGCAAAGATTTCATGCAAAAGAGATCCTCTCAAAGATTAGTTAATGTCAAAGTAAAACAACAATTAGCCCAAGTCTGAAGTCATGATAAAACGCAAAATCTGTACGTAATCAATTAATTTAATGATAGAGTGTACCTAAATTTTGTTATGCTTGCACTAAATAAACCTATACTATATAACTCTCTCTCTCTCTCTCTCTCTCCCCCCTCCCCTCCCCCCTCCCCCCAATTTTCTGACTATAATATGAAAAATACCTAGCAAGTCAGAAGGTAGCATCCCTAGTAAACCTTCCCTTTTTTTGTTCAACTAGCAAGAAGAAGAAGAGGAAAGAATTTAGCTCAATTCAAGTTATTTTTGCTAGAAGGAAAAGAGAGCAAAGTAATAAGTAGTAAATGAAACTTGACAACAAGAAAAAAGCTAACATATATATATATTTGTTCACTGAAAGTCAATTGAAGGTAATTATCTTTTATTATATAATAATCAAATAAACTAAAATTTTTAAGACTTAAATTTATTCTATTGAAAAAAAATTATCGAATGCATAACCACTATAATATATTTATTTTACATATATATCTTAAATTCCTTAATTCAAGAAAAACAAAAGTTGAAAAAGATTTGTGAGTCATGCATGTATGTTGAAGGAGTGGGGTTGCAATCTTTAATTCTTGTGGCGTTAGGTCCCCTAACTTTTCTTAGAAATTAAAATTATCTCCCATTAGACTGTATATTCATCCATGCAAATCAACTAAAGTGAGAGCACCTCATTCTGTCCATCTCTTTTCACCAACCTGAAACAAACATAATTTAAGGATAATGATTGTGTTCATAAGGTGATTCTCTTCTTGATATTCCTTACTTAGTTTCCCACTATGATTTACAACAACAAGACAGTCACCTAAATCACCTAATGGGATGAAAAGGTTAGGCTTAGGTTTAGACAAGACGGAGCGCAATAATTACAAGGGAAGGCAATACGAAGAGGGCATGTAAAACAAAACCCAAAAGAAAGAAGTGGATGAATCTGAGAAGCGATGGATGGACTGTACCAAGAATAGTACGGGAGGAATCGAATTTGGGCAGTGGAATTTAGGGCAAAGAATCCCACAATTTTTGGTGGGTGTCTGGGTGATGTGGAAGGCAAAACAGGCACAGCCATAGCACATGTGGGTGCCTACTTTCTCCATAGTAGCTTCTGGGGGCCGATAGAGGTCTAGATTCTCTCCTAAGATTGTAAAAGGCCACAAACACTGAATGTGAATATTTTACGCTTTAGATATCAAATCTGAAGTTCCATTTTGACATGTGAGTAGTGCTTCTCTCCATGCCATATCTAAGCTGCTCGGATGCCAATTTGGGGAGCTGAGAATTGCTTCCATCTCTATGCTTCTACCTTGTTTCCCAAGTTGTACACCCCAAGACTAATTTACAGAATATACAATTTTTCATTTGATTTGTTGGAGAGGAAAATCCTAATCACACACCAAAATTACCCCATTTACATCATATAACAATATACTAAATCGATTTCATGTTAATCACTCTTGTTCTTTATCAAAAAGTCTAATAGACCACATACTACGTAATATCGACTGCATTTGCTAATATGTGTGAAATTACTTTTCAAAATGTATTTAGACGGAAAGCATTAAATCACCCTATAGTTAAACTCACACTTAATCCATGTCTAGTATACTCAATCATTCAGTATCCATTTAATATCAGGTAAAAATAATTTATCAAAAAATTTTATTCCAATGCTCGTAATTTTCAAAAAAAGTTACTTTCGATCTTTTTTTTTTAATATAATTTGGTTATTTATTTATAAGGGTATTAGTCTCAAAATTTTCATAATAAAATCATATCCGATCTATATCCATTAGGTAATTTCAATAAATATTTATTTAACTGTATAGAAGGAATATTTATTTTATACCCAGTTCATTAAGATTAGATTGCTCAATATTATGGGGGACCTGGTACATTTTACCGAAGTTTTTATTAATTAACTACTGAAATGTTCAGTTGAAGACAACTATAGGTATATTGCCAGTCACCACAGCCTGCAGTGACATCATGAGAACATGGCAAACTTGGACCACCTGCCTTCGGTCCTTTGAAGCTAATTTAATGCTGACAAGAAGTCCTCCATGTATTCACGATCCAGATTTAATCATTTTCTACAATGGCTTTCTCATCTTCTTATCAATATCCCCATGATGGTCCTCAAAGATTATGATCTTAGCTTTGTACTTCAATACCACGACCAAAAGATGATCATTGCTGATGACTCGGTGACAGAGAAATATGAAGGAGAGAAATATAAACATCTTTATCTTCTATCCATTTATTCATATATTTCATGCTCTTGAAGCTGTAACGCATGATGTCTGCACTACAAGACAGCCGCATACTAGATAGAATGGTAATGCATTTTTTTGCCATTGGTAAATTATAAGCTATTGCTTGCATCATGCCCATTTTCCTGAGATTAAAGAATGGAAATAAAGAATCAAAGTCTTTTTGCTGTGGGGAATAAAATAATACGTAGGACGAGTACTGGTGCTTGTAGATGCTCACTTTCTTAGATTAAGACGGGTGTGGGTTTAAAAGCTCAAAGTTTCCTTTGGGTACAATGGGGATAGAAAAGCAAAACTAGCTTTTACATAAAGACTACGCCGTACAAATAAGCCTCAATATAATTCCTAACAAGGCTAAGGAACATCCAAATCTGATCCAAACCAAACTGTTCAGAATATTGGTTACCTTCTTGAAAAGTATGCCTGATGTCGCCATGATCCAACTTACCAAGAAGAGTCTTAGATAAGATGAAATTGAGGATGACAACAATCCTAATTTATCCGATATTTTTAGGAAATCAAATAGTATGTTGACTGTATTATACTACGAATTCGGCAGAAATGGTGAAACTTTTGAAAAAAAATCATTTTAGTTTAACGCATCGTAAATTTACTAAAATATATCGAATTAAGAATATGTTTTTATCTTAACTCCCCAAAAAACAGGATTTGTTATAAAATATACATGATTCTTAGATACAAATTTAAAGAGTTAATTTAATTAAAAAAACACCTTAATATTTTTTTTCATAAGATTGTATAGCAAAAATATTAACAAATAAAAAAATAATTTTTTATTCTTATTTAATATTGATAAAAAAAACTCTAGGAAGGTTATGATATAGTCAAATAGTTTTTCTACAATATTATTTTAATTATTTTATTTATGAAAAATCGATTTCAAAATATTTAAAAATTAAACAAAAAAGTAGTACATGATTGTTGCTCTATTTGTAGATATATAGTAAATTTTTAATAAAATCACTGATGAGTTTTTTTTTTTTTTTTTGTACTTCATGACTATAATAAATTGTTTTAGAGTCTAAAAAAAAAAAAAAAAACTTAACATATAAGGAATATATTGAATGAATTTAAATTTAATATATTGAAACAAAAACTCCTACGAGATTTATTTACATAGATTTTAATTATAATTTACTCCAAATTATGGCAATGCTTTTTTTTATTTTTATTTTATCTTTCTGTGATTTAGTTATCCATTGCAACCCTATTCAAGAAGAGGGAAAAAAATCTTCTTGAGCTAAAAGCCGAATTGTTGTAATTCTTCCATTTCCGAGACTATCATTTTCAGATGAACAGACTCATGTGGATATCCTAGGTACTTCAACTCTAGAAGATCCAATCACTATGTCGTTTAACTAATTTTGAGAATCAATTTTTTTTTTTTTAATTATTTGCGATGAAATTAGAGAATCTTTTTAAAACATAAGCAGGTACCTTTTTCCTGCAAAAATTTCTTCTTTCAACTAGATTGCTTCTTCTTCAATTTTTTTCCCTTTTTTCCTACAAAATTTACACATTGGAATTTTTGTCCAAGATTTTCCCTTTTATTCCTCAAACAACAACATTAAAAGCATGCAACTTCGGCATGGAAGCAAATCTTAAATAGATAAGATGCCTGGTTTTGTGTTTCTCCACCAGGAAAAATTGGTGGTCAAGAGAGATTGTTCTTCAATGATGTGTAGCCATTTTTTCGTGTTGTCGATGCATCCTTTATTCCTTAAAAACTTAAGGAAAAACAAGCAAAGGAAAAGAAGAGTTACCAATAAGAGAATGCGTAAATTATAAATTAGACCCTCTATTTTTTAAAAATAAATAAATTAGTTTTTTTATTTAAAAAACTAATTATTTTTTTATTTGACTAGTATTGACTAAACTTAATTTAGTATTATTTTAATTTAAAAATATATCTTTTCTCATCAATTTTTTTTCATAATATCTATTTATTTTTTTTATTAAAAACCAAAACAAATTATAAAAAATGAAATAGAAAAAATAAATATTTATTTTTTGAAAAAAAAGGAACTAATTAATTCATTTCTCAAAATTATAGGAATAATTGTAATTTTCTGGTTTAATGGAAAAATTTATCCCATTCTATTATGATTTGATAATTTCGGATTTATAGTATCAAATTACGTAATTTGAACCCCAAAGTATTTGAGATTCGAAAAATATTATCAAATTATGTATAAAATGATGTCGTTTTAACATTTTACTATCAATTACATTTTTTAAAAATATACTTTTTAAATATTTTTAAACCTTCATAATCTTGAATTTTTTTAAACTCTTTTTCTTATAAAATATTATAAATTATATAAAAAAATTTATAAATATATTTAATCCTCTTAATTTTGAATTTTTTATAAAAATATTATAAATATTTTTGATTCAATTTATAAAATTAGGGAGTCAACCTATAATTATATTCATTTTAATTCACAAGAGAATATACCTTTGGGTCCAGAAGCCCACAAGAGATGAACCCATTTCATCCCAAAGATTTTGGACATGAGCAACAGCAATACAGGAACCATGATACAGTAAAACCTGCACCTAAACCCTACTTTTGTGTGTGAGAAGAAAGTGGCACAGGCCTTTAATTTGGATGAGGCATTTCATCATACACCAACCCCAAAAAAAAAAAAAAAAGGGTGAAGGCCCAATATCTAGATGAAATTTGCGTCATTGGCCACAAACTTCATATTTTGGTGCGTTTTCCTAAAGAGAACTTTCGAGTACTCGTTGTCGGATTACAATTTTCTGTCATATAAATTGCTATATAAACACACAGTAATTTTCTCTCATATAAAAAAATCTCTCAACCAACCAAAAGGTTAAACTATTATATAACACTCCACTATATTATTTATATTTTTTTAACATACATTCTCAAGTAAAAATTATTTAGACTTAAAATTTACGAATATCTATCCTTTTGAGCATATTTTTTTAAGAAAACTTTTAATTACTCATAGTCGGATTAGCAATTTTCTCTCGTATAAACATATAGGAAAAGGTAATGATTCTTGAGGCAATCATTTTCTTCCATCATCTTTACCAAATATCAACCATATTTCTGTTGAAAAAAAAAAAAACCCTCTTAGTCAAAAGCTTAAACTATTAGATAACACTCCATGATATTATTTATATTATTTTTTTAACACACATTCTTAAAGAAAAGTCATTTGGACTTGAAATTTACACATATCTACACTGCATTATGTTTAATTAGTTAGAAGGAAAATTATGGATAGTAGGATTCGAACTCTTAATAGTTAGATTAGTAAAACTCTAATATCATGTCAAAAAATTAACTTAGCTAAAATTTTAAATTATTACATGAAGCTTCAAGATATGATTTATATTATTGTCTAATAATTTTTAGTTATAATCATAGCATTTTTCTTATAAAAAATATATAAAAACTTGAATTAATATTTATTTGCTACATAAAATATGAAAAACAACAAACATTTATCCTGCTAACTTGGACAAAACTAAATCCTTATTAAATTTGGTGCTGAACAAATCATTTACGTTACGTAAAAAAATCTTTATTTTTTAATTTTTTGTTAGATTCAAACCTAAAATGATAATATGGAGAGCAAATACACTTATCAGTCACCGCCTCGAGGTTGAGGGTCCTGTGATCGCCTAGGGTCGTGGCTCCTTAGGGACCCAACTGATAATATGTTTTCTCTAGAGATTCAATTGAGAGATGAATTTTAATTTGGTGACTAACTTGAGGTTTGCTCTTAACAATAATTAGAAAAAAAAAATGAAACCACTTGCAATGCGACTCGCACTGTACTGCCAAACAACCCCTTGATTTCGCCGTATCAAATCACCAAAACACCCCTTATCCGCCACGCGTCACAACTACAAAAACGCGTGTGAAATATCCAGAACTCATAGCGAGTACCGAAAAAATCTGATAGCACCCTCACTTCTCCTCCGCAAGCCCGAAAACCCTAACCCGACACCGAAATCTTCACTTCGTTCCACAAACCGGATCTCTTTCAACCTCCAAGACTCAATCTTTAGCTATTTAAATTTTGGGGATTTAACACTTTAGCAAGTTTCAGGTATTTATTGATTTTTTTTTGCATTTTTTTTTCAACTCTTTTTTTTTTTTTTTTGTTAATGTTTTTGAGATGTGTAGTTTCATTTTTGTTGAAATTTTTGGAAAGAAAAGATGGACTTGCATTCAATATGTGTAAGAAATGATGGTTAGTGAGTTTTTATTGGAAAATGTTGTTCTTTATGAGTTTTGAGCTAAAAGGGATTGTGTAATTTTGGCTAGAAGTGGGAATGGTAGAGAGTTGTGAAATGTTTTGCATTTTAGATGATGAAAGCAGCTAAAATTTGGTCCTTGTATTGAAGGTGAGTAGAAATACATGTTCATATAGAAATTAGAAACTTTAAGTTGAATTTGTAAGGAATGGAACATCGAGAATCTATTGTATTTTTAATGAATATTGCTAGATAAATGGGAATAGTTGGGAGGAAGAACGTGAGTGTTTTTGATGCTGTGAGATGCAAAGGTTACATGCTGTGTGCTATATGAGTAGGAGCATTTTGTTATGTGGATGAAGTGGAATGCAATGCAAGAAGAAGGCTAAGGAAGCATTTTGAAACAAAGCAGTCTATGCTAGTTGGATTTATTGAGCACATAGAGTGGATAATCACATCATATTGGCATAAGACTGGTTGCATTTTATTTATTGTTTGTATGTCAGGAGTTCTGGTTTCAATGTGACTATGGTTTGTCCAAAAATGATGTGCTTGAGGCATGGTTAGATTTATTGCTAGGTTGCATTTGGCTGATCTGTGTGAATAACTGGTATTGAATTGGTTGCTGGGTTCTAATTTCATTTGGACTTTTTTGATGCATTGTGCGTTTAGTTTGTGATTGAGGCTTTGTGTGGAATTGGTAATGCTTCGTTACCTTTATTTGTTGCTGATATGGCTTGTCTGGTTTTGTTTTTTGTTTTGGGTACCATGGCTATAAAGTCATTGAGTCAAAAATTTATATTGCCTCCATTGGAGGGGATTTTGAACAACATGTATTGTAAACAATGTGGAGGACTGCAGACCTTGATGTGAACAGATTCGGGATACAAAGTGGATCTGAATCTTCTCTCTACAATAATGGATTCTAGTGTCATCACAGGCAATACAATGTCAGAACCTCGTAATGATATGGAATTTGAATCACATGAAGATGCTTATTCATTTTATAAAGAATATGCCAAGTCTGTGGGGTTTGGTACTGCTAAGTTGAGCAGCAGGCGGTCTAGATCATCAAAAGAATTCATTGATGCAAAATTCTCATGCATAAGGTATGGGAATAAGCAGCAATCTGATGATGCCATTAATCCACGACCTTCCCCAAAAATTGGTTGCAAAGCAAGCATGCATGTGAAGAGAAGACAGAACGGAAAATGGTATATTTACAGTTTTGTAAAAGAACACAATCATGAGCTTTTACCAGCCCAGGTGCACTTCTTTAGAAGCCATAGAAATGATGATCCTCTTAAGAATGACGTCCGAATACGACGGCGGAAGAATCTATCTTCAGTGTCCAAACTTTTTGGTGCATATCAAAATGTGGATTGTTTAGAGGGTTACATGAGAAATCAGCATGATAAGGGTAGGAGTTTGGTCTTAGAACCAGGAGATGCTCAGGTACTACTTGACCTTTTCATGCATATGCAAGAAGAGAACCCTAAGTTTTTCTATGCTGTTGATCTGAATGAAGAGCATCAGTTGAGAAACTTGTTTTGGGTTGATACAAAAGGCATGGAAGACTACAGCAACTTCGATGATGTAGTTTGTTTTGACACTACGTATTTCACAAACAAGTATAAAATACCATTAGTGTTCTTTATTGGGGTCAATCATCATATTCAACCCACATTGCTTGGTTGTGCATTGATAGCAGATGAGACAGTTTATACTTTTGTTTGGTTAATGCAAACATGGTTCATGGCAATGGGGGAACGTGCTCCACAAGTGATACTCACTGATCAAAACAACGCCATAAAAGTAGCTATTGAAGCAGTCTTTCCACAAACATGCCATTGTTTTTGTCTTTGGCACATATTGGAGAAGATCCCTAGGCAGCTTGAATATTTGAGTCTTTGGCATGATGGTTTTATGGCAAAATTTACTAAATGTATCTTTAAATCATGGACGGAGGAACAATTTGAAAAGAGATGGTGGAAGTTGGTCGACAAATTTCATCTTCGAGAGGTTGAATGGGTTCAATCGTTATATGAAGATCGCAAATATTGGGTGCCTACCTTTATGAGAGATGTATCTTTTGCTGGATTGTCTACAATCTCGCGTGCTGAAAGCTTGACCTCTTCATATGACAAATATGTGCATGCAGAAACATCAATGAGAGAGTTTATAGAACAATACAAAATGATTCTTGAAGATAGGTATGAAGAGGAAGCGAAGGCAGATTTTGATGCATGGCACGAAACGCCTGAGCTAAAATCTCCTTCACCTTTTGAGAAGCAAATATCACTGGTGTACACACATGAAATTTTCAGGAAATTCCAAGTTGAGGTTTTGGGAGCAGCTGCTTGTCATCTTAAGAAAGAAAGTCAGGATGAGACAACCACAGTGTATACTGTGAAGGACTTTGAAGACAATCAGAGTTATGTGGTGGAATGGAATGAATCAAAATCAGATATTTATTGTTCATGTCGTTCTTTTGAGTACAAAGGTTATCTTTGTAGACATGCTATTGTTGTTCTTCAAATGTCGGGTGTGTTCAGCATTCCACATAAATATGTATTGCAACGTTGGACAAATGCTGCTTTGAGCAGGCATCCCATAAGTGAAAGATTGGATGAGGTGCAAACTAAGGTCCGTCGTTACAATGACTTGTGTCGACGGGCAATAATACTAGGTGAAGAGGGGTCACTTTCCCAGGAGAGTTACAACATTGCACTGTGTGCTATAAGAGAAGCTTTGAAACAATGTGCAAGTTTGGGTAATTCTGCTGAAAGAAATGCTTGTCCTAACACTTCAGGGATTGAGGAAGAGAATCAGTACAGCAATGCATCTAAAGATAGGGCACCAGATCTTCAAGTTACTGGTACAAACAAGGCTCCTAGAAGAGCCGGAATGGCAAATACGAGGGAAAGCAACCACAGTAATGCAGTTAAAAAGGGAAAGGTTTGTTGATTTCATTACTGACTGCTGATTTTCTTTACCTTTGCGACTGTCAGCTTTTTTAACCTACAATTGGTGTTCATTAGAACTTGTGTCATGCATGCAGCAGGTAACTCAGTCAGGAGCTGTGAGCATTGGGGCGCAGGATGGCTTCCATTTAATGGTTAGTGATACTGCCATCTTGTTTATTCTTCTAGCTTAGTTCTATTCCAGTCTAATACCTTCAAAAAGTACATATATTTTTATGACAATATTTATCTCTGCTTCTTTCTGAGATATTTAGACCAACTGTTTAAGCATGTTAACTATTATGCACTCCGTGTTCTTATTATGTTAACGCCACCTTATGCTAATGGCAGGGGATATCTGACTTGGGGTCAGCACAATCGCATAATATGATGCCAGCACAGTTACAAAACGTCATGCCTACAGTATTTCATAATATCAATGCCGACTCCGTTTCAAAACATGGCTTCAACACATTTGCACAAGACCCGACTCCATCGTTATTGTGAGTTTGTATTTGCTTGTAAAAATTTGTATTTATTGATTCCCCGTACAACTTTATCACGAGAAATTAAACATTTTGTAGATATGAACACTGGTCCAAAGTATGCAAAGATGCTTTCTGAAGCTGTTAGTCTGTATGTAAAGAAATTAAATATTTAGTTGTAAATCATCTTGTTTTGTATCAGAATATTACTTATGAGTTACAGCTGCATTTTAGCCATCTATGAAGAACTGAACTTTCCTGGGCCGGTCTCGGAAATTTGTAAGAACATTTTCGACCCGGCTAACGAAGAATGGCATGTCACTGAGGAGGTGCAAAATATCTCCTCGGAAACATTTCCTTCCCTCTCTGGTGTGTGCTAGCTGACAAACAACCCAGCGCGGAAACAATGCCAATCTCAGTGAGTCTGCGATGCTTGAAACTAACGCTATTTTGATGGGTTACAGCCGTATAATCTCTGTGATTGAAGCTTGAAACAACTGCTGTCTTGCTGAGGGCTATGTGATCAATGGTCTAAGTTTCTCCAGGACCATGGCGGACGAAGGGTCTTTGGTTTCTGTAGCTTCTCGTACGCTTGCAAAGGGTTGGAAAGGTGCCCAAGGCTGTCGTTTTAGTTGGACTGAGATACGCATTTAATATTTAGCTTGGTCCAATTCCAGGTTTTTAGGGTAAAGGCCCAGTTCCAGGTTGCTACTTGATTTCAAGTCATTATAAGATCATGCCTAAGACTGTTTAGGGTACTGTTGAACCTGGCTCCGAACTACCATTTGGGAGCAGATCAGGGTTTTTATTTTTTTATTTATTAAATAAAAATTTATGATACATTTTAGTGAGTACATTTTTTTTTATGGTATGCGATGAAATGATATAATTCTATAGTTAAATTATATATAAAAATGAAAACAACATTATCATTTTAATTAGTTGGATTTGGGCTGAGAAAGATAGTATTGCTATCTAATCCAGCTTTATTTGATTCCTGTCAAGTCGGACAAAAATTAGAATTTATTTTGAACACAGTAAGATGGATATCCTTCGGATCAACGAAACTACCGGATCTACCTATGTGGATCCCTCATCATCAAAGCCACATGCAAATGATTGCAGAGATGCCTTGTAATTGGTCTTGGGGATAGGATCCTCGTAGAACATGCTGGAAGTTTCCTTGGATCTTCGTTCACTCACCTAGACCATACTCTTTTATTCTTCCTCGATTTATAATACAATAAAGCTTCAACATGAAAGCAACCAAAACATATTAAATTGATCATTGCATGGCCATTTGTAGGTTGTTCCTTAAGTTCCTCCAAATTGGTCTCTACATGTTACGTGAAGTAAGACTTTGAAGAATTTCTTCCACAAGTTTGTCAATCTTGTAACAAAATGTTTTTTCATTTTTTTTTTTTCCTCTTAACCTTGTTTCCTGCATGCTATATGGAAATCAAACTAGCTCATTTATTTACATGACTTCAGGAGCAGCTAACAAAGACCAGTAGCAGGAAAAGTGGCATTGGCTGATCACCCTGTTAGTTTCCATGTCTCAAGCACATATATTATATCGCACATGCATGATCCTAGGTTTCTTGCTCAAACATGGGGTTTTTTTTCTTTGGTCAATTCCAGAATTCCTGTTATTGACTGCCCTAGATACGACCTATACATGGACAACCAGGATTGTAAAGGTTGACAAAAAGCAATACTGCTTTTTATGTAATTAATTGTATCATTGAAGTTCAATTTATTCATTATCCATTCTTTGGCCGTATGGAGAAATTTGCTCTTGCAGGCCTGTAAATTTACTCAAATTTATATGTTCTTAACTTTCTTTTCTAAAGAATTGCTCTATTTAAGTGATTAGACCATGCCGGACGCAGTGGATGTCATAGAAAAATATGGGGGCAAAATGAAGCGGTTCTAAAAGGTGATGAATGTGATAATTATAATGGTAACGTCGGCACAGTTTTGCAATTAAAGTTATTATATAAACAAAAAATTAGACGTGATTTAACGTTAATCTAATTCAGACAATAATGTATTTAAGTTGATAGATGTGAGCTGATCTAAAAATATTCTATTATTGATAAATATATAAAAACATAAAAAAAAATTACGATATAGACCTCTCTTATTGTAAATATAACTAATTATCTTTTGAGAATTTATTGTAGCAGTCAATATTAATATATTAAAGATGTTTAGATCGATTAATTAGATATTTTAAATTCATATAAATCCGAATAATTTTTTTAATATTTATAAATAATAAAGTATTTTCGGATCAATTTTTGCATAAGTCAAGACTAA